TTATCATAATTGTATTTAAAACGCAATATAGTATAGAGAGTGCCTATGAAGTGTAATAAATTTCATGGTATACTAATAATTAAATTTATATAATTTATTTTTCAAACTATTTAATAWTTTTACTGTTGGGTTTGCTRTCTCGAATAAAAAAAAACATTACAACTCCTTAAGAATGATAATACACGGMGTCTAATCTGCTGKACCTGCACTCTGCAGTCTACTTTAGCTTCGATCTGTTCACGGTGTATTATTTCATTCAATGGCACTATGGGAGATAATACGATTGTAATGTGTGTGCGCGTGTGTGTTTTTGTACACGAATAGGGGCTTTGTAGACGACATGAGATTCGACGAGTAGAGGCAGGTACGTGCGTACTTATATACATATATCTATATACTTGGCACACTCGAAAACTATAACAACAATACGATTGCGATATCCGGCTGCACAACGTCCCAATGTCCCATTGTAAAATAGTTCATTAAACGACAAACGAAGATAGATTAAGCGAACGGCGACAGTTGATATTATATTATTATAGTGATGACGCGCAGTGCAAGCTTTTAGTTCAGAGCGTACAATAGGCACAGGGTCTGCATATAATTATTGTCATTATGCTATAATAATAATATGCATTTATACTGGAATCATATAAAAATATACTTGTGATTCAGTGAACGTGTTCACCCCCTTTTTTCTTCAACATGAGTAGTTATTGACTTTTTTAGTTATTTAATTTTGTCTAATAAATATGAATAATATAGCTAAAATAATTTGGTAGGTAGATATAAATTGTTATTAAACCATTATTATAAGTGAAGACTAAACGTTTGTTTGTATCGCTACAGGACACTCCTTATTTAGTACTAAAAATCTCGAGAATTTAACAATAATAAAATATAATTCGAATAACTCAACTATTAAAGTTTCCTTTAAATGGAGGCGAGCAAAAATGCTGAACCACAATGCATATATAAAAATAATATTTGAAGAGTAGAATAACTCGGGGTGGCAGCATATTTCGATATCAGCTGAGTTTTCACCGTTAATCAAAACTCGCTATACACAGGATCAGATGTAAACCAAATATACCTATTCATAGGCTTACTCTTCGTGGCGTTATTACGTTCACTTTGCAATAATAATTATAATAACAACGACAACAATATACGTCTTTATGTGTATAGAACAATACTGGAATCTCGCGAGAATACGAACACAATTCCATTTTATTGCTTTGCTATAAATTACATTGTCATATTTTTCACCGAATCGCAATAAAATAAAATATAGTATAATACTAATAATTAACTCGCTCGCATTTCTACGACTTAAACGTCTATTTAGTCTTTACCGTCCGCCGGGCTAAAAATTAGTATGCGTTTGCGTCTGTACGTGTTATTATAACGTGAAATGATTAATTGGTGGTTGTTTGTACTTTAAGTCTGTAAGTGTATACATATTATATACTCTATAACAGTATACTTGCATATGTTAATAGAATTAATGTGTACAATTGGCCTATAGACACTATCGTGTTCAAGACCAATCGATACATGTGTGCAGGCTTATAATTTTTTTTGTTCAGCGTGATGTGCGCCTATTAGGTATACATATATAGGTACYAACTAAACTGCAAGGATGACATAATATATTGTTGTATTGTCGTGTTTGTTTGGGGCTACGTGACTGTTAATCGCTTCATTCATCGAATTCATAAATTTGTGGGATTCGAACATTTCATAAAAACGACCACCGCACCGGTATTCTAAATGATTGCAGTGCCACGACAGTAAAACACACATGTCTAAATATTGTACCTATAGGTATGTCGGACGAGTGATCTAAATTTATTGGATACGACATCGATCACGACCGCGATAAATTTTACGCGTCTCTTCAAAACACAATTCCGTATTGTAATATTTGAATGCCCGTTTTAAGACGTTCCAATATTGAGTTATAAAAATGAGCCAAAGGTACTAAAACTTTAACAATAATTAAAAAGTTGTATGATTAAACGYCAATGGTGTGAATATCATTAACAATATGAATTTTACGATATTGTACAATATATTTTATGGAACTAYAGCTGATACTTGACGATAATCATCGTTTTAACTGTTAAGTACTCTTCAAAACAATACCAGATTAAAACATTTGGTGTCCTAGCTGGTGCAGGTAATTTTCCCGTAAAATTATAATTTATATACAATTCAACAATATATGCGATAATTATATCGGTACTGAATAAACTAAATTTCTCTTTAAAATAATGTTCAAAAAGTAATATTTCATAATAACAAATTATTATGTAATAATTTTCATACAATAATATAATATTTTTGCTAAATGCCTGAATTTATTTATTCATATGAATGTGTATCGATGATCATACGCATTATAATACTTCTAATTAAACATTATGTTCTAAACCTATAAGGATACACAACTAATAATCTTGAATTTTGTTAGTTAGTTTGTTTGTTTTTTTTTTAAGTTTGTATTGTACAATTTTACTTAAATGTACATACAATATAGGTAATGTATTGTATGTGCAGCAGTACAATCTTACGTAATTAAAAAAAAAATTTCTTATTATCTTAACAAYATAATATTATAAATATTTTAGAAGTTTGATAATAACTCATTTTAATTCTAGTTAAGTCACCAAATGTCATATTTATTGTGTTATAAATGTACCATAAAACAGTTATTTGAATCAACGTGTGATAGAAAAATAAAAAATAAAAAAAACTACGAATAAAATAAAACCTCACCGTTTCCATTTGACGTCATGTTTTCGCTGTCTGGTGGCCGTAATCTGTGACTATAGTGTTGAATCCTGTGTTGATGTATGCTGTTAAGAATTATATTACTAGACGTCCGGGACAGAGCTTGTCGTTGTCGCACAGCTTCTTTGTAAATCCTAGAAAATAAACAATATACGATACGTTGACTAACAACGATAATAATTTCGAATGTTTGCATGTGATTTTAAGTAAAGGGTTTTGAGTATTTATAAAAAACAGAAAGGGTTAAGTGGGTATAATTACAAACTAATAACACATGTACGCAAACATGGTAAAAAAAAAGCATTTGGTATTATTACTTATAAGTATATGTGTGAATGTTTAATTTGTTCTTTACTTAAAATTTATCGAGCAACGAAATAGTATAATATTACACATTTAATATTTTTTTTAAAGTTAAAAACTTTGAATAAAACTTATTTACAATCCAATAATACTTATCGGCTACAATACAGATTTGTAATTATATTTTTACACTTGATTTTACTGACTCCTTTTCTGAATATTGTATACAATTTATTATTCAATATGATCTGAATATTCTCATACTATTCATATTTATTTTGATTTATAATATTTTTCGTTTATAAATTGTTATACAATTTGACTGTGCTAATAAATCTAACGTACCTATCGTCAGTTTTAATTTGTATTAGATACATTATTGTATTTAATGCATGTTCTTCAACTGTTTTCTAATTATAAAATGATTCTGTTTGGTTTTATGTAGTACCTACATTTTTAACTAACATTTTTACTACAGTTGCTTGAGCTATACCATTATAATATGTAAAATGTTTCTTCTATTTGTATTATTCGCTGGTTTTCATAACAAATTTATTGCCTTAAACACCAAATAATTTGTACATGACGCTAACGATTAAATATATTAGCCCTTGTTTACTTCCTATGGATTTCTGATAACTGTTAGTTGGGTCCATATGTACATTCGTTCTTTCTAGGCATTTAATTCATTATTTAAATCACTTTTTACTATTTGATATATTTTATCATACAATTCTGTGTATTTCCTATAATTAAATATTGGTGTTATTTTTATTTTTTATGTAATACATATAATGCAGCGGCTGAGATCCGTTGTTGGCGTCACGTACTTGTAAATCTGTAATTCACTTACTGCTCCTTTGTTGTACAATAAAATTATCGTATTATTTAATTAATAATAATAATAATTTTTCTTAGGAAAAATGTAAATATTTTATTTTTGATCATACCGTGTTTATTTACTTTAAAAAATCATTCTTGATGTATATTTTCTATAYAAAATAGCTAGTTTTGATATTTCACATCTTAACAAAATTCATACTTTTTATTTTATTTTATTTTTTTATTTATTAATTGAAAAAAATTTACAATCTATATATAATAAGTAAATGTGATAGTAACAAAATTATGGTTAAGACGTGAAAAACATGAGGGAAGGGAGCTTCTAGTGACACTACTTCCAATTTGAACTTAGGGGGGAGGTAAGGGTTTAGTGTATACCCCATTACTCCATCACCATTTTCAAGTCCACACATTATTAAATCTAATCAATCTAAAAGTAAAAATTACTTTTACGGTTTCTAAATTGTATACGAGTAAGAGTAATGAATCATACATTAGGTTATTAATTATTTCAGTTATTTTTGCTATTTCTATTGTTGAGAAAGGATAATTTATTTTATTGTTCGTTGTATTGATGTGACCTATTAGACACCTCGAAGTGTTTTCCAACCCTTATGTATATGTCTCGGGTACCTACTTCACGTTCGAGTTCCAAAATGAAATCCCGCTGTCTGCATCTCCCTTAAATTRAAATTAACCTATCTATTTTATATTGTTATCTAACTGCAATAAATAATATATTCTTATTTATTATTATTTGGTTTGTCATTATTATATTGTTTTGTTTTACTTTTGTGAAATTCTCGTTGAAGAAGTTCACAAGAATTGTAACTCCATCGCTCTCACTATAATATKGTGACACATCAAAATATCCCTGAAAAAATTATTCCATGACAAAATATCCCGCGTAACTATTAATTAAAAATTTAAACCTTTTTATACAAGTTACGTACATGAAGATATAAATACATTTGTATAGTACAAAAAATTAGTTAAACATTTTTTAAAAATATATTGAAATGGTATATTTTTTGTCAAAAATTATTACCTATACTTATTATTATTACTTATTATAATACTCAGTTATGTACTACTGATTTTAAATATTTATTATTAGTTTCGTCATRTCCTCTTAGAACAGCAAATAACCACTCGTCTAAATTTTTATAGTTTGGCCTTTTTTTGTTCTACCTCCTGCAGACCTTGTTCTCGCTTTATTATTATTACTTCTAATCGCAACAGTTATTATATTATATTTTGTCGGGGATATTTTGACCAGGATATTTTTACGTGGGATATTTTGTCATAAAATATTTGGGCGCCCGGGAATTGGGCCACTTTTTATTACTACATTTATTTTTTGACTAACTTTATGGACCTTGTATTATATTGGTAAAATGAGTATTGGCATTATTTATAAAAATTATTTCATATATTTGACTAATTTTATGAACCTTTTGTATATTAAATTACTTAAATCTTTATGGAAGTATTAAAAAAAACTTTTAATTATTAGACGTATTGTATTTTTATTTGTTAAACAAAAAATAATAATTGGTTAATAAACGTTATAATTATATTCATATTACATCACATAYTATTATCATAAATTTGTGTGCTATACTTTTATGGCCCAATCTACGGGTACACTTTAAAAATATAGATTTAATTTGTGGCCCAATCTCCGGATAGTAAAATGTAAATAAATATTCTATATGAAACAGGTAGTTAAAGCCCTAGGTACCTAGCCCAATTCCCGGGCGCCCGAATATTTGTGAGGGGATATTTTGTCTTGGAACCATATAATATATTACTATATTTCCATTACCTACTACATCAATGACCTCAAACTAATCTGACCGTAATGAGTGAAGTTTATTCTTCTGTGCATTATCTTTAATAATACTAAATCTCTTGCGTGTGGATGACTCCAGGATTTTCTCTTTTATCGTATTTTAAAATTATTTTTCTCTAGGATCATATGTGATTATTTCATGTCTTGTTTCAATACATTTATAAAATTATAGACGTCATAATAGTATCGAGATTCTGTTTCGATATATAATTTATTTGTCGAAACAGAATCTTGATTGGTAACTCTAAAAATCATGTTGCAATATGTTACATCATAGAAGAATTAATTGTTATAAATATTAACTGAAACCAGCAGAATAAAAATCATTTTTGAAGCTTTAAAGACATCTAAATAATAACATTACTTTGATAACCCTCTGTGCAAATAGAATAATTTCAGCGCCATAATTCAATTATTCTCACGAGTAATGAGTAGTGACTAATGAGATATTGTTTGAAAACAACAATTTTACAACGTTACTGTGTTAGAACAATTTATGAATAATTAATGAAAATTTAAGCATTTTTGATGATTAGAATGTCATAATTTAAATATAATATACCTACTAGTAGTTATGTTTGATTATTTTATAGTCTATAGTATATGTACCATATTTGTGTAGCTTGAAATATTTAACAACTTTTTATCATACATACATAATGGATATATATATATAATATTGTAGCAAACAATATAGGGTATTAAGCACTTAAAGTCTTAAAACGATATATAGAAATAATAAAGTGAATATAATATACATAGTTAAATATGAATATTTTTTTCTGCATTTTTTAATGATAATGATATCATTTTAACCTTCATACATGGAAATATTTCTTTGATTTGCTCCGGTTTTGTTGGATTTTATAAAATTTATAGTCGTAGGTTTTTTCGATCGTTGATTTAGAATGCTTTCGTAGCAGTATCTAATGATCTTCTCGAGAAATAATGGAAAATTCGAAATTCTAATAGTACACGTACAAACGTCCAATCTTTACCTACRTAATTTCCGATTGACTGCTTTTGTASACGTAAGGGTATATTTGTGAAAGAATCAGGAGAACACATTAACTAGGTACGTGTTAAAAGTGATTTCAGTGGGACAAAAAAATAACAAGAAAAAAAAAATTTGCACTAACGGAAAAACCAATAGCTTTGCAGTTCTGCCTCATTTTAAGAACCTTAACGGTGAAAAAACCCAAAAGGACTCACGACTCACAAGTCGAGGTAATTAAAACACAATAGCAAATATAGTTAATTAGTAAGTCGTGTTATAGTTTGCGTTTGTAAAAAAAAAAATTTAGGTTTATTGCAATTAATTATGTGATGGGTACGTGAGTAAAATAAATGAGTATATATAACACGTTACTGATAATTCTATCATRAATGGTGAGACGAAACAAAAATAATTCTTTCCATATTAATGTTGATTTTAGCACATAATAATATATATTATTTTTCTAACCCCGATACCAGTGTTCCAAGATACAAGATTCATTGGTGTTATGACTAGAAATGAATAATGACTATAAACATTACCCAATAAAAAAATAAAAATACATAATAATAATCTACGAGTAGTAACCACATGTGATGGTTCGTTGAACAAAATAAAAAAAACGGATTTAATAATTGTGAGAAAAAAATAAAATACCCAACCCAGAAGACAGAACATTAAACATTATTAATGACAGTCTAATAAAATACATTTAATTTGATTTTGGATAAAAACATAAGGCACAATACGATTTGTTATGTTTGCGTTTTGCAGTTGTGAGCAATATATCATAAACAATTATTTTTTGTTTGTCCAAAAATTATGGGTCACAAATTAATATTTGAACATTTTTAATCTTATGTGTAATATCAATAAAAGTCTTCCCCCAGAAAGCTGTAWATTATGGTTTATATAATATTAATATTATTAGACTTTACGTGTGTTACAGGTTGTCGCTTAYCGCAWTTTTAGCTCCTGATAGCAGTTATATGAACTTCATCGCAAACAAGAGGTATGTTTCTTTTGATTACGACATCCACATAACCAAAGTAGGAAACAGCCTCCACGCAATCATCTAACATGAGGATGATCCTGATACCAACCACCCCTCTATTCACGTCTAACCACTAACCACT